AATATATATATATATATATTTATCTATCTTAATTATTTCATTAATTTCTTCCATCATCTAAATTCCATCCCTATTCATAAATTATCAAATCATGAAACAAGGTGTTAATTATTGAGTAAAAATGTCAAAGTGAACATACCTCAACAGTAATTGGTATATATCTTCTATTGAAAGGTTGTTCGGTCCCCCATTCCCACATGTTGTACTAAAAAAATAATTATTGAGTAAAAATGAAGGATTAATTAGCTATTGTATACTATATTTTTTTTATTATTTAATAATACAAAAAGTTAGAGTATAAAGAGTTGAAATAGGTAAAGTTTTTTTTTTTCCTCTTTATCCCGATAAATCAATTTTAAAAAGTTGTAGTTATTTTTAATTATAATCAATAAGTAAATTTCAAAAGTTTTAATTATTTTTATTATTTAATAATGTGAAAAGTTAGAATATAAAGAATTGAAATACGTGTAGCTTTGTCTCTTCGTTCTCTAAATTAATTTTAAAAAAGTTATACCTTATTTTAAATTATAATTAATGTACTTACCAAAAAAATGATCGGTAGTCACAATAAATTCTTGAGAACACTCGGGGAATCTAACCTCCAAAAACAAGTTAGCACTCCGATCCAGTTAGTCTCTGTGCCAGATAAATTAATTAGAAAGTGTAGTCATTAGTTTTCCTACTGTCTTCATTTAACCATGGGGTATTTATAGATGGATAGTGGCCAAATGACTGTTGGGGAGCTTGGCTCTTTATTTGAATTATGCGGTTTCTTTTCCATGAAAATAGGAAAACTACACGTTGAGTGGGGGAGCGGTTTGGCTGTCATGGCGTAAAAAGAGGAGTAAACCGTTTAACTTGATGTCCAGCTCGGCTAGGTGTTTAGTTCGACCATTATCTGACCCTCGTGTCATTTGGATCGAAATCGAGTGACATGGCCCTTGGGAATTGATGGTTAAACAATAGCCCCCTACTTTGAGAAAATTCTAAGGGCTCATTTGAATTTTCTTGAAGCAGCGTTTAACGTCGGACTGCAAAGTGCAGAGCCGAACTTATTTTTCCCCTTCCTTCGAAGCTGATACCGCCTCCTATCAAATGTTTATAATGGTTCAATACAAATTTCGCTTGACAAAAACTTGTTCGGGATTTTGGAATGACAATAAATGATAGAGCGCAAGTGTACACCTGTCACAAGTAGTAAAACGGAACGAGTATTTCGAATATCGATCCTCAGGGACAAATGAAGTCTTTTTAATGAAAATGATGGTTGATAAGTGACTTTGTAATTGATTTTGGGGTAAAAAATGACAAGGATAATGTTGATTTTGATATTTAAAGACTCAATGCAATGAACTCAGCCTAGTTACTTCAAATTAGCTAAAAATATGCAAACTTTTTCCAACTAGGCGCCAGGCGCCTCTCATAAATTTTCTTCAGTTTTATTTCGCCATCTTCTTATGTATAAGTGATTTTGAAGGTATAAGTCCATTCCTAATATGTCTATTAGGAAAAACAACTTAATTTAACAAAAATCAACCGTAACCTTAGGTCGAGGTCCTATGTCTAGGCTACCCGAGCGAAATCTTTATGTCTAAAGTATTTCTCTCTAAAGTTAAATTAGTAAAGTTGTGAAAACGTATCAACCCTTTCAGTATTGATGCTTGGTTAAAACATTCATTGGCCAAATCAAGTTTTAACTTATGGAAACAACTTTAAGTGATAAAAGAGGAGAAAAACGCCTTTTGCCTTGTTGGATTTTAAAAACTTTAGCTAACTATCCATAACCGGGCTTGGGAAAAATAAATTTACCTTATGATAATAAAGGAAAAACACAATTGAACATTAATGAAAGTAAAAGACATGATTAAAAGATGAGTAGAATTAAAACAAGCTGGAAATGTTGGAGTTGTAACCCGAATGACCCTAACCCGTTCTCTTTCAAGATTGGGGAGCAATACTCGGTCGATTCCTCAAGGTTGAGTGATTACAACTTCGTAATGAGAAAGAGAGAGAGAGAAGAGTAACAAAGAACTTGCTGGAATTTTAATTAAACAATANTCATTGGCCAAATCAAGTTTTAACTTATGGAAACAACTTTAAGTGATAAAAGAGGAGAAAAACGCCTTTTGCCTTGTTGGATTTTAAAAACTTTAGCTAACTATCCATAACCGGGCTTGGGAAAAATAAATTTACCTTATGATAATAAAGGAAAAACACAATTGAACATTAATGAAAGTAAAAGACATGATTAAAAGATGAGTAGAATTAAAACAAGCTGGAAATGTTGGAGTTGTAACCCGAATGACCCTAACCCGTTCTCTTTCAAGATTGGGGAGCAATACTCGGTCGATTCCTCAAGGTTGAGTGATTACAACTTCGTAATGAGAAAGAGAGAGAGAGAAGAGTAACAAAGAACTTGCTGGAATTTTAATTAAACAATATTAAAGCTTACAACTCAAGACTCACAAACTTGAAATAAAGGGTGAACTAGAAATAAGCAAGGTTTAAAACAATAACAACTCAAAAGCTTGAAGAGAAAATGTAAATAAGCTGAGAGGGAATGTCTAAAGCTAAAATGATCACTCTGGGATGATGAATGAAGAGAATGAGCTGTTGAATTTATAGGGACTTCAGGGTGGTTAGGAGGTTGAAAGCCATCTATTTCAAACACCTTTTGGTTGGTTAGTTGTTGAATTGACAACAATGCATGGAAGACACGTGGCAGAGCTTCGGGAGGCTTCAAATCACACAAAAATGTGCGTTTTACATTAAGGGCAATCTCAGGATTGGGGAAGGCGTCAGGCGCCTAGCTTGGAATTTTTCTGCACAAAATTGTAATTTCCATTAGAAATCAACTCTAAATGATGTAAAAACGTCCTATGTGCATGTATAACCTAAGATAACTTAAAATGAAAGGTTTGGACACTAAACCAAGCTTAAAATACGATTTTCGAGTTTAAAACGTTAGAAAACAACACCCATTTGGCTTATTTTTACCCTTATGAACAAGGGAAATCAGTGCTTGTAAATCGCTCTGAGATTCCCATTGCTGGAGACTTCAATTGTCGCAAACTCACGAGGTTAGGCGTTTCTTTCACCCTTACTTTACGTTTGGTTACCCTCGCGTTTGTTTCAATTTCGCCCTAGCTCTCTAAGTTTCGTAGATGGCTAGGACTAAATCATTCAACGCTAGTTCCCATAGGGCTTCAACTTCTCAAGTTCCCTTAGAGAATCCTCCAGCAAAAAAGTCGAAAACCCCACCGGAATAAACGTAGTGAATCGCCGGACAATAGCTGTGATTGCTCCGATTTTTCATATTCCAACTGCCCTGAAGAGTTACTAGGGATCCTTAGGTACAATTAGTCGATCCCAAACGACATTTTCCCATAGGGCTTCAACTTCTCAAGTTCCCTTAGAGAATCCTCCAGCAAAAAAGTCGAAAACCCCACCAGAATAAACGTAGTGAATCGTCGGACAATAGCTGTGATTGCTCCGATTTTTCATATTCCAACTGCCCTGAAGAGTTACTAGGGATCCTTAGGTACAATTAGTCGATCCCAAACGACATTGGATTGAGAATCCCTACGGCGGGTGAGACAATCGACAAACCTCTGTTAGGGTGCGTTAGTTTCTACCCCCAAATGTTTGAGTACGATGTTAGGTTGCCTTTACATCCTTTTTGCCCATCTTTTTCTTAACGCGGTCAACCTAGCCCCTGCCCAATTAACCTCGAATGGATGGGGTACTCTAATGGGCTTCTGGTATCTGTGGTGAAGATTCTGCGAAGACAGGACTTGAATTCTGCCTGTCGAACCGATGCTAGCCATCCATACTCTCAAGAAGTCGTCGGGAGTGTCTAATAGGTCTTTAAATTTTCAATTTTGCATCTAACAAATCTCTAAACTTTTGATGTTGTATCTAATATCTTTTATTTTGTTGAGTACACAAAGTGGGGTGATTTTGCATCTAATAGATCCTCACCTATTTGAAAATTTTTAAAATTCACAGATTTATTAAACATAAATTCAATTTTATGTCTAATATATTAATTAATTTAAAAAAATATCGAATAGGCCGAAAATTGGTTAGACATAAAATTGAAAGCTCGAAAACATGTTAGCATAATATGGAAAGTTTAGGCTGGTTTGGTAAAGTTTTCGTTTTTGTTTCTTGCTCGAATTTTATTGAGAAATATAAGTATTTGACAACTATTTATGTCTATTGTTTCTATTTTTAATAAACATTTTCAAAATTGTATAGAGATTTTTGAAACAACAAAAACAAGTTTCTTGTTTATTATATTCCAATTTCATCTTGATTTATCATTCTTGCATGTATGGGTGTTAGAGGCCATTGAATTATATTTTTTTTTATTATTAAAAAAGCGTAAATAAAAACAAGAAACGGGAACGTGAATGCCCGTTTGATAACGTTACGTTTCTCTTTTTTAATAAAAATAAATAAATAATTGCATGACCCCAAAGCCCAAAGATTCAAAGATGATAAAACAAAATGTTTGTCTAGGTTGGAACAAATTAGAAACGGGAATAAGAAATAACAAATTTTTATTGGGCTCTAATATTGTTTCTTCTTTTCAATTTTCTTAAAAAATCTAAATGTTTTCAACTAACTATTTTTTCTTGTTTTCCCTTTTTTAAGAAAATTATCAAAAGTAAAATATTTGGTCAATATTGTCCTCACTACCATTAAAAAAAATTGACTACTCATTATTAAAAACAATATACATATTTTTACGATTCTCACTCAGTTAGTTACAAAATACTTATTCCGAAATATAAATAAAAATATTGTTTTATTATATGAATATTAGGGCCGGGTAATTCAATTTTTTATAAAAAATGAAAAAATAGAAGCGAAGAAAATTCACTCTTCCCAGGAAAAAAATAGACGTAATTTAAAATTACACTTGAAAAAGAAAAAATTTTAAATAAAAATGGAGTCTGAGGATTCAGTTGTACGTAAAAGTGTGGGCACACGCCTCTGTCCTTGGCCCCAAACTGACACAGAACACAACCACCAAATTCACTCTTCACTGTCCCTATTCACTTCTCTTCCCGGCGGCTATCCACCGCTCCCGCCGGCGACCTTATTCCCCCGGACCGCCGGCATCCATGGCCGGAAAGCTTGGAGATTCCCCCACTCCCCCTTCTCCGTCATCCGCCCCCTGATCTAGGGTTTCTTTCCTCTTCCCCCTTCTCTGTTTCCCGGTGAGTGACTTCATTGATTCTCTCCTCGTCAGCCTTTTTCTCTTGGTTTTGTTTGTTTTTCTACAGAATGCCCTACTTTCTGCGGACATAAAATGTTCCCCATCTTCATAACGGGCGTGAGGAAGTAATTATTCGAGTCTAATTCCTCCATGGCCTTCGGCGGAACATGATTGATGATTCAGTTTTGTGTCTTTTCATGCTTTATCCTCATTTCTCTTGTATTTTACCTCTTCGCCAGTCCTCTCTTGGGCAATGTGCATCTGTGGTTGGGTGGAATATGTTGGTTCCTTCCGGTGGTAGCATAATGCCTTGGAAATTTTTTTGAATTTTTGCTGGGTTATTGAGTTAGAACACTGTGGCATTTGGTATTTCTGGATCTGAAGCGTTTAGTTATATAGTTTCCTTTGATTGTTCCTCCTGTAGGAGAGTAATGGACTGTGAATCGAATCACACATTTGATTCAGATGAAAGTGACGTTGATATTCAGGCTGAAATCTATGAAAAAGGTGGGAGCATAGATGATATTCATAAGAACTTGAACTTTTGCTTGCGTGAGGATGATAAGGTAGCGGAGCAATCTGTTGTAGATTTTCCTGTGGATGGAGTAGAGCCATACATAGGTATGGAGTTCGGTTCTAGAGATGAAGCTAGAGAATTCTATGTTAATTATGGTAGACGCATTGGATTCACAGTTCGCATACATCATAACCGTCGTTCCCGCGTAAACAATCAGGTGATTGGTCAGGATTTTGTGTGTTCGAAAGAAGGATTTCGTGCTAAGAAGTATGTGTGCAGGAAAGACCGGATACTTCCCGCGCCACCGATTACGCGAGAGGGATGTCAAGCCATGATAAGATTAGCTTTAAGGGATGGAGGGAAGTGGGCTGTCACAAAGTTTGTTAAAGATCATAATCATCTGTTGTTGAGTCCTAGTAAAGTTCCATGGCGAGGATCTGGAAAAAACTTGCTCGGCGAGGTACGTTTCTCCCCGTGTGTATTACTAAGGACGATGTCCCGGCTTGTTATTAAGCTTCATTCATCAGTTTGCATCAGAAAATTACTCAAACATCTAACTCTTTGTTGATGAATCTTCAGCCAATTCTAGAATAAACTTTTTTAGGTTGATAATTGTTGCTCAAACTTTAGTCTAGAAGGGCCACTCTCTTTTAAGCCAATGTCTTTACACATACTTCTTAGTTCATACTACAACTGCATGATGAAGTTTAGTTTTGGTCAAGGCTATTACAACTGCATGATGAAGAACAAATCATTTACATTATAGTTTGTGTTCTTTTCCCTTCAACTTTATTCCAGGTGTTATTTAGTATAACCGTCGTCCATCGGTAGTTGAAATCGGAAGTTTTGACTTTAGCCATGTCTTCCTTACTTGATGTTGCCAAGAAACCATCTCTGATCCATTCCCCTGTTTTTGCAATAGTTTGACATTGTTCATACTGCATTCTCCACCCAAATCTTTATTAATTTTCTTAAATGTGCTTTCAAATTGTGTTTCCCTCTTTCCCTGCTAGGATCAAGTATGTTTATCTGAATGCAGTTGAAACATTGGATTAGCATTCAGCCATTGCAGTTTGAATGGCTATAATGTTTCATTTTCTTTTCATAGCTGGTATTCTTGTTAAAATCTTGATGTCTCGATCAATTCATTAGTGTTGTTGATTCGTTGGCACTGGGCATTGGGTCGTGTTTTTGCAGGACGAGAAGGACAAGAGGATTCGAGAGTTGTCGGTGGAGTTGTACAACGAGAGACAGAAATGTAAGAGGAAATGTGCTGCATATGAAGAACAGTTGAAAGCAATTTTGAAGGAGTTGGAAACGCACACAGAATGTATATCAAATAAAGTGGCAGAAGTAGTTAAGAGCATAAGAGAAATTGAAGAGGAAGAAGAATCAGGAGGGTTGAATCAAGGGTGGATTTAGATGAACAGCCTCTAACTTCTATATCTTAGGTATGGTATGGCTTCAAACTTCAAAGCTTGGATTCTTAGTTGTTATTATTATTATGAGGAGCCAATGTTAAACTCTCATTGAATAGAATTTTAGTGTATAAAAGTATTTATCCTTGTGACATGAGGCTGACACAATGGCTTTGAGGTGGATGTTGCCATGCCGATAAATGAATTCAACCATCTTTTTCGTAACGTTTTTGTTTTCTATTTCTCTTTTCCTTTTATCATTTTTTCATTCCCAGTTCTTGAATGGATTATGAAACAAGTGTTTACGTTGCCTTTTGAAAAAAATTGAAAGATGTGTTTAGTAATTTTTTTTCTCTCTTTTATTTAAATTATTCGTTATCGAATAAGAAAAGGTAATTTCAATATGGTGAAAGTTTCTAAGTGAGAATTAATTTTAAAAAATAAATACAAATAAATTTCACTCTATAGTATAAATTTAATACGTATTATTAAAAAATATATCACAGATGTGAATTTTCTAAGTACATTTTAATATTACATTTTGAGATTCAACTTAATTTGGATTATGTTGTTTTTGTAAGATGTCAAACTTTTTGGTGTATTTGAAAATATTTAGTCATTTTAAGCTATTTAATGCCTCCAAAATAAAGTATTCTAAATTTTATATAAATTAAATATTGTACATGCAACTATAAGTCTAGAAAATTTATATTATAATAATAATAATAATAATAATAATAATAATAATATATTTCTTTAGTACAGTAGTATGGTGAAAAGATTTCAACTCATGACTTTTTGGTAAGTCGTGTTAATTATCGTATAATATTTATTTTAGAAAAACATGAATTATCGTATAATATTTATTTTAGAAAAACATGAATTTTGAATCGCTGTTAAAAGTTGGTAAAAGAAAATTTTGGAGGAGAGATGGAATGCATTTTTGGAAAGGACATATTTGGAAAAAGTATTTTAATTTCTTAAATTGGTTAAAAATATTCCCTTTTTCTTAAAGTTAAATAAAAAATAAAATTATAGACGTGACTAACGAGTGATCGTATCTATTTAATTTCTATGTTTTTACAAGTTTTAATAACGCCCTTAATTTTTTTAAAAAAATTGATTTTAATTGGTATTTTAATTAAACATGATAAATGTGTGATAATTTGACACAACATAACATACATTGGTGAGGAGCACAATAGAGAAAATCCAATCCAGGTGTTTAAATTGTATTGTCCACCTACTTTATCAAATTTTTTTTACTCAATTCACTCTCATTTTTATTTTTGTTTAATTGACTTATTCTCTTATTAGCTTTATTGGCTAAGATATTGATCTAAACGCATCCACCAAATCCTTGAACTAAATATATGTAAAAGAAATTAAAATAAAATAATAAATAAATAAATACAAAACTCCCAAAGTTGATAAACTCCATTTGAAACTTGAGCAAAAACTACCCTAAATGTCCACAAAGTTCTCATTCCACATTCAATGTTAACTTGACCAAATCTTTGGTAATTTAAGAAGCAATCTTGTTAGATAAGAGGATTTAGCGAATCATCTGACTTGGTCAATAAGAACCATTATAAATAATAAATGATTTAGAGGAAATGAGTTCAAACTATGATGGCCACCTATTTTCTAATCTAAAAATTATTAATACTCATATTAGTGATATTGATATTTTTTATATTTTATCGATCTTTTTGCAATATTATGAAAATATCAATTGACATCTTTCAATGTTGCTAGAAATTTAGTACTTTGTTTCCCTAAAAAAATGGAAAAAAAAAAAGTTTGTGACAAACACTAATTTGGAGTCATTTTAAAAACAACTCGAAACCGAATAACTATGGTAAAGAATAAAACCAACATTTACTTTGAAATTTTGTTGCAAAGGCATTTACTTTGAATTTATATTTAATTTAAATATTATCGATTCATATTACATATTTGTAGAAGAATCAATCACTGTACATAACAAAAATTAAAAAATTAATAATTTTCTCTAACATTTACATCTTCCAGTAGATAAACTAATTATCCTAAAAATAAATAATCATTTTACTCCTCCAATTTGTATTTAGATCCAATTTAATTTTTGTCATTTAAAAAGTTTTGATTTAAGAAGTTCCAATTTCTTCTTTATTATAATAAAATATGGAATTGGAACTTCGTACCTAATGACTTTTGATATGAAATAATACCTCAACAACTAATTGAGATAGATGCAGATTTTACTAAAAGAAAAAAAAAATTCAATTTCTGTTAATTATTATCTTCCAAAACTTCCCACAAAATTATTTTTTTAAGAACTAAATTACAATCAAACATAACCTCTAATTGTCCCAAAAAAGAGAGCAATATGGAAAGGAAGACATGAACAAAACAAATTCATTAAAAGAGGGAAAGAAACACAAAAACAATCTTACTGAGTTGGAATGCAATTAAAAAAAAAAAAAAGAAAAAAAGAGAGAGAAAAAAAGAAAAGAAGAAGCACAATAATAATCTGTTGGTGACCCGACCCGAGAACCCACAAATGTTTCACTATGCCTTTCTTCTTCCTTCTTCCCCAACAACGACAAATTTCAAAATTACATGGACTATTCATTCAATTTTTCACCTACATCATCATGATCATAATTTCAATTAAAAAAAAATGAAAAATACATTTGTATAATATATAAATTCCAATACGTGTGAAAAGCTCATTGGCTCCAATTCCAACCAATGCCACATCGACACGTGTGATTGAGTGCACAAATAATCCATGCAACCTGTGTAGTAATGACCCATCTTTCTCCTTCCTTCTTCTCCTTCTTCTCCTTCTTCTTCATCATCATCTTCAATCTCCAAGGTTTTATGTACAGACTCTAATGGAAAAACAATCCTCTCTCTTACCTTTTTTTTGGTTTTTTTTCTTTTTGGAATTTTCAGTTTCTTGATCTCCTTCCTCTCACCTCTGTCTGTGCGAATGTGTGAAGTGTGAAGTGTGTGTGTGATTAAGCGAGAAAAGATCAACCTAATGCACTAAACCCACCTCCCTTCATCATTTGCTTGAACTCTTTGTAATTCACCATTCCATCTCCATCCACATCCACCTTCATGATCATCTTCTTGCAATCCTCTACAGTTCTACCTTGCTTAAGCCCCAAGGAAGCTAATACTGACCTCAATTCCTCGACGGTGATGAATCCGTCTCCGTTCTGGTCGAACACGTTGAAGGCTTCTCTCATGTCTTCCTCCTCGTCGCGCTCGTCCATAATCGACTGGTACAGCTCCCCGAACTCGTCAATGTCCACGCATCCGTCACAGTTCACGTCGATTTTCTCGATCATTTGAGTCAGATCTTTGTCCGGGATAAAGATCCCCAAATTCTCCAACGAATCGCTTAATTCCTTCTTCGTGATCCGCCCGTCGCCGTTGCGATCGAACATCTGGAACACTCTTCTCAGTTCCGTCGGGTCCATCGATCGATCGAATTCGAGATGCGTGAAGAGTCGGTGGTGGAGATCGGCCGGCGACTGGATGATGATGATGCGTAGAGAGGAAGGGGAGAGAGGAAGGGGAAGGGAATGGAGGATTATTGTTTCTTCTCTCTGTTTTTTTCTTTTTCTTTCTTTCTCGGAAACCGAACAGAGGAGGAATTAATGCGGCAGGGGAGATTGTGAAAACCGGAAAATCCTGGGGAAAATGGCTGGCATCCGAAGGAAAAAATGGGGGAAACGGAAATGTATGTGGTGGAGCCTGTTTGGTTGCCGAGAAAATTCGGGAGAGAAAATCGGGTTTACACAGAGAGGTGAGGGAGGAAGATGAACCAACGGTTTCAATGGCGGAGCCCTTTTTCAAGGGGTTGCAAATTGCGATTCCTTCACGCGTAATTGGGGGATTTTTCTTTTTCTTTCTAAAAAAAGGAAAATACAATTTCTTTTTTTCTTTTTTCTTTTTTTACGCTTTTTTGCCAAAAACGCGTACTCATTATTATCGTTTGGTTTGGTGGGTGGCTTTGTCGATTAATTTAGAAACTTACTTGATTTTTCACTTTAATAATGAGGTTTATTTATTCCAAACCTAGTTTTCTAAATATAATTGTACTTCGAAGTAAAAAAAAAAAGAAAATAATAATAATAATAATAATTGTACTTCCCATTTATAAACAATCTGGGTGAATTTGGTAGGAGTATTTTAAGGATTTTTTTAGTTCAAGATTCAGTGGGATTTTTTAAAAAAAGATAAATATCTTAACTAATTGAGTTATCATTCTGTTACAAGTATTTTAAGTTTAATGGTTGAATAATTAGTAAAATATTGAAAAAAAAAAGTTATTAATGTTTTGACTCGGTTAACTATTTTTATCCATTTTCTCTTATAAATTTCACCTTCTTCCATAATTATCTTTATATACTTTTCATAACTTCTTTAATTCTCTCATTATTGCTTTCTATATCACAACTAATCTCTTACACTATATAAAATAAATATAATATGTATTTATAAAAATATCATCACTTATATTTTTTTCAAAAATGTCAGAAAATGACTTTTAGTTGATCTCGTGTGATGGTATAATTTACGATTTATATCATTTTGTAAAATTTTAAACCTAACACCCTGCATGGATAAATATATATTCTTTTTATGATATTTTTATAGTTCTCTTGAAGTTAAACTTTCATCTCGAGAAGAGAGGTAATTGATGCTTATCAATTAAGCTGCCACACTTTTTTTTTTTTTTTGACATAAGACACTTTTCTTGCTATAATACATATATTTCATTATAATCTTTGGAATATTCTTTGCTTGTTACGTTAATAAAGAGGGATACTTTTTTGAAGTATCAAATATTTTATAGTTCCTTGTTCCCATCATATTTGTAAAGCGAGTCTGGTAAATATGAAATTTTATAAATATTATATTTAAAAGTACTTGTGAATAATGCAATCTTTGAAACAAAACTTATTATTCTCCTAATGAGAAACAAAATCCTACCTATACTCTATATAGCATGATCCATGATAAATTACCCGACCCGAAATTACTCGTCATTATAGTAATTGAACCTATTAACATATACTAGGATAAATTATAAGCAAATATTGTGTCCTACTAGACTCCTAACTTCATAAAAATATTGAATAAGTCCATAAGATTTTAATTCTTTGTCTAATAAATTTCTAAACTTAAAAGCATGTCTAATAAGTCTTTAAATAGGAAATGTTGTATCTAATAGATATTTAATTTAAACTATAAAAATATCTCATAAGGCAAGTGATCTATTAAATGTAAAATAAACTATAAAAATATCTCATAAGGCAAGTGATCTATTAAATGTAAAATTGAAGCTAAAAAAACCTTAGTAACAATTTCTAAAGTTCAAGGACCTATTAGACACGTAATGATAGCTTAGTAATGACCTATTAGACATATAATGATAGCTCAGCGATATACATGTACTAATGACGAACAACTTCCATATTTTTTTTTTTATAAAATTAAGCTCACATATTACACTTTCGTTTTTTAAGTTTAGCGGCAATAAAAACTCAATTAAGAAAATCTGATACATAAAAATAAAAATAAAAAGTAAAATTATAAATTATAAAATTTTAAAGACAAAATAAAAAACAAAGACACCACATGGGATACTAAATTATATATTCAATGAAAAAGACATTAAAAGAGCATGCATTATTTACCTCCCTCTTCCCAACTTTGTCTAAATACTACTTTCATGTAATTTAATTTTGGTTTATTTTGGTCCTGTAGTTGTAAAATGTTTCTGTTAGATCACGTACTTTCAACTATTATTTATTTTAGTCGCTGTACATTCAAATCGTCTATTTTGGTCCTTGTATTTTTTAAAATTGACTATTTTGGTCTTTTCAATTTCATTTTCATATCTCATTTTCTTCGATCATGATTTTACATGATACTTCACTCGCAAAATTTCTAGAAATGTAACTTTAAATACAAAAACTAAAATAGAGAAAAGTAGAAAAATTAAAATCAACTTGGACGAACGATATTTAAACCTTCAAATTCATACTCTACTTTTACTCGGTTGCGTTCAACTCAAAAAAAAAAAAAAGGGAAGGAAAAAAAGCAAAAGACAACTTTACCTTTAATAAATAATAGAAATTTGGCCGTTGAGGAGAGGGTGTAAAGTAAAAGACAATTAATTTAAAAAAAAAAGGAAAAAAAAGGGGTAAAACGTAAATGACCGTTGGGGGACATGAATAAGATTATAAGAATACCTTTGCAAAAAAAAAAAAAATGATGTAGGGGCCGGCAGATCAATGGGGTGGCGACACGTGGCCGCGTTTCACGCATATCACTCAACTACTACCTTCCAAACTTCCCGTTGCCGTTCGCCTCTCCATTTGGGTCCTTATCTCGCTTTAATTATTTAAAATAGCTTTAAATAATAATTCCTAATACTTTCAATTTTATAACCCTGATTATTTAGTTTTGAAACAATTTAATTTTTGTGCTTTTAATTGTGTAACAATTTAGTCAACTTTAATATATAACATAATTTAATCTATATACTTTAAAATTTGTAATGTTTTAATCGGTATCGTGAAAAATATTGTTACGATTTAATGAGAATATTTCTTTTAGGAGAAGTGAGGGGGAGAGATTTGAACTCATGATCGATTTGGTCCCTGTAGGTTCAAATTGGTAACAATTTAATCATTGAACTTTAATATGTAACAATTTAGTCATTGTAATTTAGAATTGGTAACAATTTAGTCATTGTAATTTAGAATTGGTAATGATTTAGTCCTCATCGCGAAATTTTTTTGTTAAGTTTCTTGTATGTATAGATTGATAAACTAAAAATGAACTAAATATGTTTATGAATTAGAAAGATTAAATTGTTATATGATAAAATACGACACTTAATTTTAATAAAATGTTTTACGATAGGGACTTAATTGTTACAAATTTTAAACTACAGGAACTAAATCGTTGCAGATTAAAGTTCAGAGACTAAATTGTTACTTTAGAGAAAGTACATTAACTAAATCGTTACAAACTGAAGTTCAGGGACTAAATTATTATTTAGTGAAAGTAGAGGGACCAAATGTGTTTTTTAATATATAGTTAATTAATACCTAAGTTGTTTATTAATTATGTAAATAAAAAAGGATGACATAAAATATCAACATATTGATTATAATTAATAACTTCGTGATTAGTGAGGTTTTTTTTAAATGGTATATCAGCAACGATCTTTTTAAAAATATATATTATATTTCTAATTATTTTTTAATAAATATTTTAGAGAACAGCCACCCATCCAAATTCTCCTGAAACAATTTATAAATTATTTTGAGCAAATAGTTAATTTACTAAAAATTAGTTGAGTTGACAATATAATAGAAATCTTCAAACTTTGAAGTAGTCATTTATTAATGTATAATATTTTTCTTTTCAAGTATAGACAACAACAAAAGTGAAAAAAAAGACATTTATTATCGCTAATCCGAAAAGAATAATCATAGTAACTATATATTAATGTTTAGCAATATGCAACTCACTAAGAAGGAAGTAACCATCCAAAACAAGGCATTATTTATTTATTTATTATATATTATCGAAATCATTGACATAATTTTAAAAAAATATATCATTCCAATATGTAAATAAGCGAGCATAGCTCAACGGTAATTGATATATAAGAATCTAACAAAATCTTAAAGAAACATATAATCGATTATTTTATAAGTATATTACTTATATAGTTAGATATGATGGTTAGAAGTGATTAGTTATAGATTAATTAAGCTACAATTAAAGTATTATTTACTAATTTAAAAAATTTCCATCAATATCCACTATTTTCGTAATTTTTCCCGAAATATCTATCGACATCGACATATCCACCGACATGTCCGTAAAATCGAGACCTCGAAATTTCCATCGACATCGACATTTTGAACCTTGTTCTGAGTAGATGTTGCAAAGACATATACAAAGTCACATGTTATAAGTTAAGTGTAAATTTTAAAATAGGTTTAGATGGTTATTAAATAATTGATAAAATAAATAAATGGAATTAAAAACAACTTATTTGAAAATTTTGAGAAAAAAGAGAAAATAAATATGATGGTTTGTTGATAAAAATAAGATCTAAACTTTCAATTTATTCATTCTAAATGACCCTTTCTATTTTTTTTTAAGTTCAACAATATTGAGGATAAGATTTGAATTCTTAATGGAGATATATGTCTTAACTAGTTGAGCTATATTCTGGCTGACAGTCTTTTCTACTCAATTAATGAGTATAAAAAAAAAATTCATCACTTTTCGACTTCTATATTCTTAAAATATAAGAAAAGGAAGAAAAAGGAAAAGTTACACAATTTGAGGGATGGGCA